TGGGAGATTCTGCAGGTGATATTACCAGCTGGAAGAAGGAACAGATATGCCTCCAAAGGACAGTTAGTTACAACTAGATGTATTATGAAGGGATTTAAACCTCCCTATTGCTCGAGGGGGGAAAAAAATGAAAGCGAAGAAGCATTTGAGTGAGACTATACAGGATGAAAAGCAGAGTTGAAACGTAGGAGCTGCTCTACAGACTGGATGAAGAGCAAAGCAAAGACTCTTCTGTCTGTGTCCCCAGTCTTCATTACAGAAAAATGTACCGAGAGGATTGTGAAACTGATAGTAACCAGGATGTACGATTATTGAAAGGAATTAACAGAGTGAAGCAGAGTAAGGCTATAAGAATTTTTAAAATAATGTTTGAGAGAATTAACTAATCTGACCAATACGATATAGCGAGGGTTATCACTGACATCAACACAGCCGTCCATTTTTATTTTTACTCTTACTATTCAACACGAATCTTTCTGTATCAGTTTAATTTACAGAAGTCAACACCACAACGAAAACTTCCTAAAAAATTATGATAGCCCCACGTTTTCCAAACAAATTCAGAAAGTTTTATTTTCAGAACAACAAAATTGAAATAGTTTCATATAAAATAAAAATACCACCTTTCGTATTTCCCCTATTGAAATGCTCGGCACTGTTGAATATGCAACACAACCCATTTAACAAAAAGATGTCAGATTGGATAGCAATAGCTACCATAATCTTAGAGATCTTTGATGAGACTGTATTTCTGCTACTTTTTGTGCTTTCATTGCCTTGTCCCTTTAGATTTTTGTTAATAACATTCAACTCAAACCTTAACCAAAAACACTCACCAAAGTTCACCTTGCATTACACTGAAATGTTTACCACTCTACAATATAAAAGCTTAGCAACATATATGATGACCAAAATCTTGGCAGCTAGTGACAGTAGCCTTGAAGTCAGTGACAATGCTCCCTAACTCCAGACCAGGGTGTCTCAGATTATTGTCCCTTGGCTTCTTCCTGAAGGCAGGTCAAGAAAAAAATCACCAGAGGGGACACTACACAGCAAAAATGGCACACATCTTTAATTTGGGGATGGGGAGGGGAACGAACAATCCACTCATTACAAGGATAAATCTGCTGAATAATTCAGTTATGTGGTAATGACCACGGAATAGCTAACCTGCCTGTCAGATACACAGCAACAGGATAATGATACACTTCCTTAGCATCCCCCTTCTTACAGACAGTGAGAAGGAAAAAACAGATGAATTTTTAAAAGCACTTAAGTGATATTAGAAATCTGAATCCTATTTTGAGGAGTAGCTTAAAAATATCAGTTTTCATTGAAAATTTGGCTCATTTAGTTATGCCAATTCAACAGTGTGCTTAGCAAAATCGTTCGGTGTTTCTGTATTTTCAAAAGTCTGCCTCTTATGACCTTAAGCATTTATTATAAACTTTAGGGACTTCCACACCTAAACACATTCATCACTTTTGAAACGAGGACTTTTCCTAATCTAACGATTATATTTCGGAGCTGCAGACACATTCCTCAGGGAGCAAGACGGCAGACTCAAAGCAGAGATGACTACTCTCCAGCTATGCCCTCCTGACATGATCTCTCTAAAAGGGCTTCGAGAACTCAATCTTGCCATGGAGCTGTCCCAGGAGATAGCCTACTTTCAGCCTATAAATTTTACCAGTTTTGTCCATCTGTGTCACCCCGGTAAGTTCTGCTGGTTATAGATATAATTTTAAACAGTGCCCGAGGTATTCTGTATCCCAGCTTCTACCTGGTCTCTTCTGGATGCAGGATTTATGTCCTTTTCATATTCACCCTGAAGGCTTGTGTAAGCTAAGTTACACCAAACTTGAACTAAAAACCTTTTCATGTATCTTCCAAATGAAAACTCATATTCATAAGTTTTCATTCAAATGAAAGGCATATTCATGGCACAAACAGATACAATACTTCTGGATTTCTATCAGCTCAGTGATGTTTACGTCTCGTTTTACTGGTTCTGACTCTACCTATACTATGGAGAAGGTTGTTTCTCTCACAGCTATCTCTCTGAGCAAGTTTAGTATTCACACTCCTAAAATGTTAGATTTACTGACTGAATACTATTAACAAGATTTCTCCTAATTTTTGCCAGCATGTAAAATGCAATGTGCAGCATAAGGAAATCCCCTTAGGTTTTTTTGTGGTGACTCCTTTTCCCCTTTCAGGCACCTCTGACAACTTAAGTCCTCTTGAAACATCAGGAGTAAACAGATTTCTGCTTTTTATCATCAACATAGTAAGCACTTCCCTACCGGGGGTGCGGAGAGGTGTTCAAATAGGCTTACAGAGATAATCTTTACTCAGGCTGTTTCATTAATTATGCAACTTGGCCAAGGCCAGTAATTACAACCGTGCTAAATTGCACTGAATTTCTGTAGCATTGATGTTTCATGGGAAGCAAGGTGCAAAGTTGAAGGAATAAAAGCCAACACAGTGACTTTTCTTAATGATTTCTAGTATGTCTGCTGGGAAAAATACTTAACGCGGACCTGGATGGTGTAGACAGCCAGTGTGTGACTGACAGAAGCGCAGCACACGAGCTCTCACGAAGAGCCTCCAACGGAGAAGCTGAACAGGAACACCTGCATCTCAATTTCAGCAACCCGTGCAGACAGACTGCTGTTATCCTACGTGATCCTCCGCTCCCAACACAGATTGGTAGACTTCACTCATCTCGCACAGAATCCAGTCCAAATCAACACAAGTCCACCGGTGCACTTCTGCAATCTCTTTAGAAGCCCAGAGGGTCCCAATCCTCAAAGCTTCATCTGACCGCAGCAGATTTCATGCAGATAGGAAGTTCTCACTCTAGACCTCCAAGCACATTATGGTGACGTCTGCTTGGGCGATATGACTGGCACTCCTGTGTCTTTTATAGTTTGTTTTTTTTTTTTCTCCTACGTCCTTCATCAGGACTGTTAGAAAAATCCCTTACTGTTATTGAGTCTGATCTAAGTAGTAAGCTAAGAAAATTAAATTAACGTCATTCTCAGTAACATTTAGAAATTGCAAGCTAAGCAGCTGCCACTTATTCCTAGTAACTCAAAGTATATTATATCGAAAGAAGTCTTACAAGAACACATATTGATTTTGTCAGGTTTTGGCTTTTTTTTTTTCCCCAAGCAACAAATGTTGCATGTTCTGTACTTGTGGGGTTACATAGACACAGGTTTCAGTGCAGTAGCTCTGACTCTTGCCAAACAGATGTTGAGGGAAAGCAACCTAACACAACGTGGGACAAAAGCTGTCTCATATCGAATTGTTGGGTTAAGAAAAATCTTGTGGGTAATTCGGTATATTAAATGCATTTATTATATATTTATATACAGAATCGATAGGGAGCTGAATTAATGCTTGACTACATTTGTTGAAATCATGCTATTATTTAGAAAAGAGGTACCAAATGCTAAGAATTATATTAATTAAAGGATAGCAACTACTTAAGTTTTTTAAGTTCCAAAGTATTCATATAATTTATTTTACCTAAAGGCCAGATGCTCAGTAATATCCTAATAGCTAGCTGAAATAGTTTGAAAAGCAATGAGTTTGAAAAGGGATGTTTTTAAACCACCCTTTGACGTAATAAAGTGGCAAGCAATTCCTAGTCTCCTAACGCAAAGTATTGGAGTGTTATCCTAAGACTAACAGACTTCTCTGCAATTTGCTGAGATTTGTGTAATACCCAATCAGTGGGGCTTAGCTTATTCCAGTATTTTGCTCATGACTAAGCCTAATGACAGAATTCAGTTCCATTTACTCTCTGAGAAGACAAAGAGGTTAATTTTTTACCACTCAGAATCAACACATTTCAGCACCTATACCCTTTCCCATTATGAAAATAACTAGATTTGTATAAAGTAGAGTCAGCTCAGCACATGAAAACTGATCTTATATCCTTCATACCTATTTTTTTATCCTTGAATTCAGTAACAGTATTGGCTCAAAACATGGTACTAACCACTTTAGGATTTCAGGCTTGGTTTAGCAAATATAATAAAAGATAAATTATGTTAGAAGACTTATGTGGTTACTTCCAATGTATTTCTGACGTACTCAAGAACACCTCTTTGGATGTCCAGGTATGTAAGTCCTGCTGCTTCTGAACTGGTACAGATCAAAAAAAAAAATAATATCTGCAATGCATTTCCTTTATCACGAAAAAGGAACTTGCACTTCCAGAAGCCAGAAATAAGCTCATCTCCTCCCTTATATAGAAGTAACTTTTAAAAGTTGGCAGGAAAACCTCGTTTCTTCCACATTCACTGCTACAGAAAAGTGAAGATTATACTGTGATACAAATGTGTTATATACACTCCAAAGCAGTGAAAAGATTCCACATGGAAAAAAATATAAAATCAAAACCAGTCAGTAGATATTTTACAAGATTTCATATGAACAAAACAGGTACTAAAAAAAAATAAAAATCATCAGTGTCTTTCAGAGTTCAATTACTCCATTCTAAACCCATGCAGACTAATTGTTTACTTCACCATATAGATTGAAAAACAAAAGCCAGGATTCACTTATTTGTCAGAGATTAGATGGGGATTTCTTAAAGCACCAAATATTACAAAAAGCATCTAAAATCTTGCTTTTCAACAATGTTATTTGACAACCGACTCGATCGAGGACAGCTGGTCTATTGTCTATACTTCCATTCACTTTCAGTTATCTATGTTTTTCAATTCATGTACATTAAAGCTAATGTTAATATATTTACCAATAGAACATTATTAAAGAGAAAACTGTAACGACTAACACAAATCTACACTGTTAAAAATTACTCCCGTTTCACATATGTTTATGGAAGCTTCCCAAGTATCAGGAGAACACTGAACAAGAAGAAAAAAACTCCAGGTTTGCAGACAGGGTTCCACAACAACAAATCACAAGTCCTAACACTGGTGTCCGATTGCATTTAGACAAAAACCTGTCAAGGTACATACCTGTAAATCTGCTGAATATTTTCAGCTTTGATTTCCTTGAGAATTTCATGGTAGATATGAGGGTTATTTGGTTCTTGAGATGTTGAGGGAGAAGGGCATTTCTTCCGTGCATAATATCCTATCACAATTCCAAAAATAAATAAAATCAAAGCAGTGCAAAATACTTTCAGTATCTGAAAAAAACTGCAGCGGTTGCTCTTTGGTGCCTGTCTCGTATAGTGTGAGACGTAGTCAGGGTCTTCCTGAAGCCGCTGGAACCTTCCCTTTGGAGAAGATGAAGGCTGGATGGGCTCGAGATCAAGGTCAGGGCTTTGTGAGTTTCCCAGGTGATGCTGGACCGCACCATCCAGTCGGAAATGGTCAAAGCCAGGCTCCTCCAGCTCTTTTTCCATGTCCCATTCCAGTTCCAGCGCTGTGGCTTGGAGCTCATCGTTGTCAAGGTACGGAGAGTGCCCCTGTGCTCGCTGGTCTGCATTTACTTTGTGATAGGCCATCTTTTTATCTATTAAAACAAAATTTTAAAAAACCCTAAATGTTTGTTTCCTTATGTATACAAAAGCAATTTATTTATTCTTTGTAAACCTGGGAGAAGTAAACGTGTACAATAAAAAGCAAAAACCGGGTTCTCAGTATTTCACTCTCTCTGTTTCCATTATGCTGTCATCTTTTGTAGGATTAGCAGTTCCATGAACATCGTCAGAGGGGAAAGAAGATATTTAGGGGAATATAATACATGGTAAGAATATGCATAAAGGGAATTTAGAACTGACAATGGCAAAACACAAAAGTTATCCTATTATTTTCTCAGTCCCGAAGACAATATTAAAAAAATTGAGTGAAGGCACAGAGTTTCTAAAACAATTATTTAATACCTGAAAGTAATTTTAAAGCTTAACAACTGTGTATCAATTTCATTTCACACACCACACAAAATAATGCTGTTAAAATGAAGTTGAAAAAAGTAGAAATAACATAACTTGCCTAATCCGATTCTAAACACAAGGAAATGATAAGTTGAAAAAGAAATTTTCAGGGTGACACTGTACTTACACATCAATAAAAGGCTTCCATTTAGATGGAGCATTCTATTATTTATAGGTATTTTAAATGCATAGTTCCTGAATGACTGATGAATTTACTTAGAAATTGTCCCAGCTGTTTTGCTCCACTTATTTTTCCCATTTTAATGAATCAAAAGCACTGCCAGGTAAGTATTTATATCAAAATCATTCCTTTAATAGCTGGGCATATCTGTGGCACTTCTAGGTATTTCTATGGAAGTCTGAGCCCTCTAAAGGGAACTCTGACCTCCAGTACAAACATTCAAAGGCAATTTTCAACAAATCATTTTTAACAGACTGCAACAACAGGGTGCCATTTTCCTCCATGCTTTGACAATAGCTATTCCATCACATAAGCATCCGTAATTTAGGGCTTTTCAAACATCAGCCTCACTCATCAATTAGAATAAAATGAAGATACAGATATTAAACCTCTCACAGTGATGGATATTGGACTGACACCCACAATACTATATTATCCCTCCACTTTTACATTTTAAGTAATTTTCTTTCTCCAAGACTTACCTCCAGATAACATTATTGAGGCCACATAATAGATGAACCTACTATAATGGCAAAGTAGAATTTAGCTTTTTGAAGCTCTCTGAAGAGAGCAAACTGTTAGAAAGCATTGATGTAATGAAACAGCCTATTGTCCACTGAAAGAGTATCTTGCTCTGTACAACCCCAATTTATAGATCCTATTTCCTTGTACAGCCATATAAATATCCCTCGCCTATAACTGTCAGGCAGTCTAGGAACAGTCAAGGGAGCCCATACTCGAGGTGTAGGTTTCAAGCACAGCTATTGTAGACACTTTGCAAATCAATTCTCCACCTGCAGTCCAAAGACGTAGCGGAAGCAACAGAGTTTAGAGTGAGCTGAACTAAGGCATCTTAAATTAGTGTAAAAATCCGGATTAATTATTTAAATAATGATAACAAATGTTAAGTCTCTCAATTCCAGTTGAGTCAACAAACGGCTTGTGCCTGCACAGCCATTCTTGCTGAACTTTACGGACTTTCTGTTAGCCCAACTCTCAGGTTTGTGAAGGTCGCTCTGAACCGTAGCGCTCCAATGCACCGGGTCAGCCCCTTCCCCAACAGCTGTGCAAACCTCAAGATTTCTCAAGGGAGCACGCCGTCTTCTCGCCCAGGTTATTAAGCAAGATATTTCATAATGTCAGCCCCAGAACTGATCCCTGGTGCACTAAGCTTCTTACCAAGCACTAAACAGACATCAAGCAATTTATTAATAGTCTTTGGAAAATTGAGCTAACCAATTTTCAAACTATTTATCTGCCCTTTCACTCTGTCTCCTCCTGTTTTGTTGAAGTGATTAATTTGCAAACCACCAATGACAGAGGTCACTACTAGATAATAACAGCTGCCCAGCCACCTCATCTTTCCAAGTCCATTTCATATTGCTTTTTATTAGAAATTAAATGCAAATGTTTCGTCCTTTAAAAGCAAAACAAATCATTACTGTATTCCATAAATACGTAATTTTGACTCGAGAATTACTTCAGTCATTTAACCAACTTCTTCAGCGACATAAATAAACCCTTAACAGATCACAACAGTATTACCCACAGAATAGGAATTAAGGCAGTTTTTCAGATGCAGTTGCATGGCAAATATTAATCTTGCTGAGCTTATAAGCGTTGACTATTGCATATCCGCGATAGTTAACTTTTCTCTGTATTTATGACATTTTAAAAATGTATGTTATTGTTCAACAGACTGTATTAATAAAGGTTATTTAAATCTACACTTAAGCGCATAATAAAAATTCCCATGAAATTTCTTTAAATGGTTGTTAATGCAGATGAATAGTAACCACATTCCACAGCTTAGTATCCCAGCAAGTCAATATTCATGCAATGCACCAAAACCAGTTACCTCACTCCAGAAAAAAACAAACAACTAAATGAACTAAAATAAAAATCAATATTCAATTCAGTTTTATATTTGAGACCAGTCTTTGCAGTACGGGATCTTCTTAGCAATGCATGTTCTTTAGTTAAGGACTGCAAAGAATGCAAGAGTAGCCTCAGTCAACATCTTCACTTTTTCTACTAATATTGTTAAGTTCATTATTTGAGTGTAAGGACACGGCGCAACGAAGTATCTAAGATTAGGGCCCGCAGTGTATTTAACGATGCCAACAGCGATTTGAGAAAGGGGTCTGTCTCCTGGTTCTCAAGGCACAAGTCATTTGAACCATGTAATCTATATTACCAGTTCTATTTAGCATTTGGCTGGTTAAGGAAGTAGGCATGACTTAAAGGTTATGTTTGAAATCTAAATTTAGGTAGGAATTAGAAAAAGGAAGAAAACGCTACATAGAGAATAACAAAAAGTAGACAATAGAAATACGGATAAACTATGAAGTCAAGAAAAAAATCACTATGATACTCTAGTTCAGTCTTCTCTATAACACAGACCATAAAATGAACATATTTTTGAAAGACACTTTTGAAAACTTCAGGAGACAGAAAATCCATCCCATCTGCCAGCAAGCTGTTTCAACATTTAATTGTTGTTAAATACATGTTTTATTATAAAAATAAAAGAGCAACTGCAAAATACCAGAAGTCTGAATGTGCACTGAGTGAGCTTTAAAGCCATTCCATAGGGACAGCAAAGGGGATCATAAACACTGGAATACTGGACAGACTCAAGCTGATGACCAACAAAGTTATGCGCATTTCTAGACTTCCTCATATTTGTGGGCGGGATGTTTATAGAGAGGTATCAAATCAGTGCTAAACATCCTTTCAATTACCTGTGCACAAGAAACAGGAGAGTCAGCTTTATCAGATCGTTATTCCCTTAACGAGCCCATTTCAAAACTATCTACCTGTTGTTTGATTTTAAAAACAACACATTTACATCCTGACAGGTACATCTTGTTATGAAACAACCAGAAAATCTTTTTGTGATAGCTTTCTGGCTTGAATCCGTTATCAACGAAGCTTTTGAAAACTATATAATAAGGACCACATGAAAGGTGTTTCATCTGGAGCACTGCCACTCTCTAACACCTCCACACCAGAAAGGTCAGCTTATACAACATTTTATGAAACCAACAGACAGACCAATATGCATATATTACAGTAAATTCTTTGTGACTAGTGCTGTAGTTGTTAAATCCAGTTCACAAATAGCAGAGACAATTAGCAGGCTCATTCACAGCAGGAAGAGTGGCAAGTGTTAATGTGGTGCCCACAGCAAATGCCTTCTTGAACTATTTAATGCTCATTACCAAAAAGGCCAGTTTTTCCCAGGAATTGTACTAAAGGCATTGCAGCCTCTTTGTATAGTCACAAAAGCAGAAATCCAGGGCTGGTGGCTAACCGCATTTTTAAAGGTTCTTCCACTTTTATTTTCTTCTCAGTATCTTCTATACAGAGTGCTTTTGCTCTAAGTCCTTGTAATCTTTTTGTGTCTAGGCAAACGCTCAAAGCAGATATGATGTCACCTGTCTGAAGGGCAAATAGCTGACTTACCATGGAAATCAACATCCACCGCACATACAAGTCTTTAAAGCATATATGACAACAATGTAGTATTTTGTTAAATGAGATGATGCCAAGTTTCAGGCCCAGACAAATTTCTTCAGAGTTATAAATCCCTGCAAAAGTTATTTGCAGAAGAGATTATGATGCCCTTGTCAACAGCAACATTACACTACACTGTAATTCAGAAAATAATGTAATATTTCCATCATCGCTTCCTTAATTTTCTGCAGTAATGATTTCTCCCTTCCCTCACGTTTGGGATATGGGCTTGGCAACAAGTCCAGTTGCAGTATAACAATTAAGTTCCTTGTCACTCTGCACTACCACCATATAAAAACAAATGACAAAACCCACCAGCTGTTGACACCTCACTAGCTGACTCAAGACAAACCCAATCTGAAAGAACATGCAGTGTTGTAGCAGAAGACAGAACAGAGAGATCAGACTTGAGAAGGAAGGTGTGAAGAACACAGCTAAGCTGAGTCCAAGTTGTCTCTTCATATAACACCAATACTACTTTTTGGCACACAAGTGACGCAGAATATTTAACTTCTTGAAAATTTGTCCTCAATTTTATTATACCATGAACAGCCATGCAGACCAGGATACCATTAAGACAAAGGATGACTACATGACAAGGTCTATAATGCACCTTGATTCATAAGCCTTGCACACAATGCTGTCCAGTTGGACAAGAGTTAACTTGTCTGTCAAGGCAGTGATCAAATGCATCAGCTGCTTGAGCTAGAATATCCTGGGCCATCCAGGTGTGCATAGGTACACACGTGTGTATTTGCCTGCTGCCTTTTCTGAACCTTTGAAGTCCTGGGGCTCAGAGAAAGAAGAATTGCTAGGAAAGCCCTTCTCACCCAGCAGACAACTATCACACAAAGCTGAGGCAGACTCAGCT